TATTTACCACTGTGGATAAAAACGGTGAGTTAATTAAAATCCCAGTAGTCTGTAACAGCCCTCTTCGACCACTGAAATTTAAGACGGAAGTGGAACTAGAAGGTAAGTTATCTTTCCTGGATATCCAGCGTTCAATGAGAATAGGTGGAGCACAACAAAGATCAATTTACCACAAGCTAAAGTGCGATGGACAGCTATCAAGCTCCCGCATTTCCTCCCTAATAAGCAGGAAAAGAAATCCCGTTGATTCTCTTAAGACAAGAATCTTTCGCATTTGCATTGAAGATGATATACACTGAGTAAGAAATAGCAATCCTTTAGAAACACTCTAATAAAGAATGGATAGCCAACCTCCTTCACTGAAAGTCGTTCAAAGAGAAAGAATCAAGCTCTGAAGAAAGATTTAAAGGAGGTAAAATTATCAAAGTTCTCCAAAGCTGTCTGTAGAGATCAATCTAAAGAAGGTTCATTACCTAATCTCTACGCCTAAGATTGTCTACACATGGCAAAACGTCAAAGATAAAATCTTGCTGTTGCAAAATTCATCTCTTACATTTACCAGTTCATTTGCTTCTGGGGAGTAGGATTTACAGGGCGTAACACAACAGGACATTCTCCGAACTCACTGATGTATATCTACCCAAACGGTTATCGAAAGGACAATCGACATCTCAATTCAAGAGTACATTACTACTTCTGATCATGGAGAGACATAAAGGAATCCATTCAAAGTTACATACAAACTAAGATCAAGTGTTAAAAAAGAATTTAGCCTACATCTCCTTGATGTAGACGAAGTTCTAGAAATCCATAACCAAAATACCTGAACTTTGTGTTTAGAAAAGCTCTCATCTAGCATCTTTCATTACCATAACCTTAGTGTCAGTTTTATTTTATTGCATCGTTGCATAATCAAATGTATATAATCTTTCTATTTTTATTTAATTCTTTGTCCTCTTCTGTCTTATCGACTATTTCCAAATGATTACTCATCACTTAATTAACTAATTGTCAACACTGGTGATTACGTAAGATCATTCAGTATTTTTTCATACATTATGATTTGTCTTTGTGATTAATCAATTATGGTAACCTCTGACCTTTTTTGTCAAATTCCCTTAAACATAACTGTACAATCCTGAAGTGCAATTATGAAAAGAGATCTACTTACTGACTTGTGTTCATACAACAACAACAAAAATGGATCGACATGGCAATAATAAAAAAAAATCAATAAAATCAATAATAAAATTTAACCGGTAGTGTATTCAGAGTGTCAATTGCATACATCTACCATCTTCATTTGCATAAGACGTCTTTAACATGCTGATAAATAGTTATTAAAAGGAGCTGAAATCCAGCTATAACCTCATAATAATTAATTAAAATTAAACTACAAAACCGCAAAGAGGGGTTCGTCATAAAGTAAAGACGAAGTAGCATTATTTGTGAGAAGAAGAACCATCAATCCAAGTTTGGCCACGATAGGAACAGCGTCTGGAAGTGTCCTTTCTGGACACGAAATTTCAGTTTAGTTAAACTTATTCCAACACCTTCAGCTAGGTGTAGCCGACTTAAGTGAAATCTAAGTGATAACGACTTCGGAATTCAGTATTTAACCCTGAAAGCTGTGTTGACATCGATGCGAAGTCCATTATCGACCAAGTGTAACAGAATAGAGTTTTTATGCACTTAATTTCCCCTATGCTGAACCAAGCTGGTAAATGATCTCGAACCCGTAGACGAACCTGCCTAATTGTGCTCTAATACTATGCCCTATTAGAAATCGTTCAAACTCTAGATTAACTAACTCATATGAGATGAAACATAAACTAAATGACATTCAACTAGAGACTGATAAAACAATGGTTAGTTTTGACATAACTAGTTTTTATACTAATATACCAATCAATATGGCCTTAGAAGCAGTTAAAAAGAACTAACTGCAGATCCTGAACTCACTTATAGGACAAAGCTGCCCATTGAACAAATTATTTTAGGAATTCAGTTATGCCTCACATCTACTGTTCTTAAATTCCAAGGCAAAATATATAGACAAACAGAAGGTGTAGCTATGGAATCACCAATATCCCCTATAGTAGCAGACATATTTATGGATGACAGCTGGGAAAATAGTGGCCTCAATACATTTAATCCTACTCCAAAAATATGATGATGGAGATATGTGGATGACACTTTCACTCACAGTGTTAAAAACAGAACGTATCTCTAGCTTCTTGATGCATACAAACTCAGAAGCAGAAGGAATAAAATTCACATTTGAATCGGAAAATGAACAAAGAGAATTAGCTGTGACACTAGATTGTATGATATAAAGAATAGAAGAAGGCAAACTACACACTAATGTTTATGGAAAATCAACGCATTCCACTAATAGATATTTCGACTTTAACTCTTCTCATCCATTAACTGTTAAGGCAGACTTAGTGAAGTGTCTAACAAACCGAGCCACAGCACTAAGTAACACAAGGAAAGACCTGAATGGCGAAATAAAACAGATAGAAGAAGCGTTGGTGTTGAATAATTGTCCTATAAAATTCATTAGGAAGATCAGCAGAGGCCGAAAACAAAATAAAAATAATTGTGGAACTAGTCATGATAACATAAATAAGAGAGATTATAAGTCATCCACTGTTATACCATATAAGGAGGGGACATTTGAGACCCTCCCTACTCAGAATTCCTAATAAATCAGTAATTAGGGTGCTATTCAAACCTACAAACTCCCCCAGTCAAGGACAATCTCTGTAGGCTAAAATACCCTGTCAGTTGGCCCAATTAAAGAAATTAATATAACTTACAAAATTCGCTGCAATGACTGTGAGGTCAACTACATATATCAAACTAGTAGGTCGGAGTCGTCAGATTATCAGAAGATAAGAATTTAGGTATGGGAATAATGGTTGACCCTGTGAAGAAAAGTAATTTATTAAAGAGCTCAGCTATTGCACTTCACGCATTAACAAACAACCACACAATAGGGTTGGATAGGGTTAAAATTCTAAAACATAATATAGGTAGGTGGAGAGGGAGGTTGATTATTGAATCCTGCCTGATTTATCGAGTCTACACCCAACACAACACATGCAACAGAAATTACTCAATGCAAATAGCAGAAATATAGAAGATAATATTGCCCCCAGTCAGTCAAATGACAGGAGGATAATAAATAATCATAAAATTCTATTTCAACTCAAGCACATCACAAAATTCTAACAAGTGACTAATTATGACTATAAACACACTCGTCTTATTTCCCATGTGTTTGTAATTGATCAGTACAATTCTTATTATTATTTCTGAGTGTCCCTTTGTCGCTTTGAATTTTAACCCAATACCTAGTAGATTCCAGGCATATTTATATAAATGTAGGAAAATAGTTTTTTGAGTAACTTGATATGATTATGAGCAATAGTTTTTGCTTGAATGTGGTTTTCAATTCATTTCACTGTAGAACACTCTGCGATTTATAAAAATAAAATCTTAATTGCCTAAATAGGAGCTTGCGAATAATATATCGACTTTATTCAATTCATATGAGCCACTGTTTTTGGATCGCATGTTTGCAGTGTGACGGTTTTGAACATATAAGAATAGGTGGTCTATGAGTTCACGTGTAAGTTTTCAAATTTTCAGATATTGAGTCTATTTAATGGTGAAAATAACAAACATTTGATGAAGTCTAAAACTGATGAGAAGTTGACTAATTCAGTGGGCGAATTTTATTTCGAATAAGCAAAACAGTACCTTCAGACGATGGCGTGTTTGGGAGTTCAGATGCAAAAAGTGAAAAAAAGTTGAAGTGAGGAGAAATTTCTAAAATTTAAGACGCCTATATCACTATTACATAAGATGAAGAACCACGTTAGCCTCAGAATATTGAGAAAAGACGCATTGTGTTTCAATGTTTTGAAGGTATTGGTGGTCAATAACACAACTTATCAGTATCTATACAGCATATGCATACCAACTAAGATGCTATTTACGATAGTCAGTCATGAGACTTTCTAGAAATCTGAACGTTCTTTCAAACAGTATATACTTTTGATGGTTTTGGACTTATCAAAAATATCTCAACACATTAAAAATAAGATAAATAGTCATTTATGATTAACCATTGTCCAATGTTTTCTAAAGTACACCTGAAATAGAGGACTGCCCAAACAGAAACCTCATCTACACCATGGAAAGTTTAACAGACTCTAAGTTTCCTTACTGACACTTCGTCTATAACTAATTTACTTAAATTAATTTACCTGAAAAGTAAAATAATCAATATCGTGAACCATTTTTTATCTATATAATAAGAAAGCATATATACCTTCTAGAGTAGCGATTTACTTAACAAAGGTGGAAATACATCCTAGATATTTACAAATCGTTACTTAATATTTACAGTATTCTTAATCCTACCAACGCTTTTGTCACCAGCATAAACTATGCTAAATGAATCATCCTCTGTGAGGACGCAAATTGTTGTGAAATAAATTATTAAAATAGAAACTCCTTTCCGTAAGTTGATTATGGAGTTGAATGGACAATTAGCCCATCACAGGCTATTATTACCGGGAATATCTTTAAGTGGAGGACACCGCTAAAGACTCTCAAAGCAGATGAATGCGTGGTGGTTAGTATTTTTAACCTCAAAAATCTACCTCACCTCTCAATGTCTGACATTTAAATAACAGGGAATACTTGGGACAAAAAAGTTGGAAAATTAAAAGATCTGTGATAAAATGTTTACTAAGACTGCATCAATGAAACCAACAGGATTTGTAGACTATTCTAATTACGTGTCGTGAGTTTATGTGACAATTTATCAGTATGCTAATTTAAGAAACTACTATCAACATTCAGCCTTACTTATAGAATGCCTTGCTAAAATCAAAATAAAGTTGTGGTCACTCGAAACAATAAAAGGACATAAGACCAAATATTCAGTAAAAAATCACAACACTATTTAGCTCAATAATACCTACCGATCTCTGAGGATAAAATCTTCTTTGTGGGAGTAATGAGGGCTTTCATACATATCTCCTTCAATTTCTGACTTTTTACGAATGGGTATGCTTGAAATAAACTCTCTTGGTCTATGTGAATGATCAAAGGTAAACTTAAGAATATTTATTTCCCATGAAGTTTAGAGACTTACTGGACAAAATGAAGTAAGACATTTAGTTTCAGTTTTTGAAGATTTAATTGGATGCTTTCGAAAGGAATCACGGTTGGCTTTCCTTATTTCTGATCTCTTCTTTGAATTACACTTGTTTGTTTCACCTATTATGTATGATAGTTTATTTGCGTTTCTCATCTTAAAATAACTTAGTACTCTTTTCCTCGGAATGATTAAGATTAAGCAAATCTGATGCAGTTAGGCCTTGATTGTTTTTGAGGTTTTCATCAGCTCCAGCAGCAATAAGCTTTTGCATCACTTCAGTATGTCCTTGACAAGCAGCTGAATGCAAGGGAGTATTTCCTTCAGTTGTCGGTCTAAGCAATTATTTGCCAAGGATAAAGATTAAGAGTAACTTACAAATTTGGATCAGCATCTCTAGAGAGCAATAAATCGACCATATCTATGTCCCCGTAATATGATGCTATGAACAAAGCAGTTTCACTATATCGATTGACTGTGTTTACATAAAAGCCTTAATGTTAATTGCCTTATAATAAAAAGAGTTTACCGTTGTTAAGATAACTGACAAGTGAGTTAGTATCTCTTGTAAGTACAAAAGTTTGTAGTCTGCCACCGCCTCGACAAGGAACAAGACTCATAATAGCCTAAGCGGAATCAATAAACAGTTTTAAATTTGTATCCATGTCAAGGTTGCACTTCAATAAACAATTTTTAACACTGTAAAACTTTATCCGTATATGATTGAAGGGGTCCATCAAAAAATTGTTCAAAAGTCCTAAAAGTATACCTTCGCATATTTATTGTCATATTCTTAGAAGATGTTCATCATATCACCGAGACCTCTGGCGACTGATCACTCAGTAAGAACTAAGCACTTACATTTCTAATGAGTGTCGAATTAGAGATTCCAAGGAATACTGGTTCCCTATCATGTTAGTTTAAGTTATTGAAAGAGCTGTCTATATAGTTCCGTCGTCGTCAAGACTGTTGGAAGGAGCACACCCTCAAAGAAATTAATTCCTGTATGAATCCATAGATATTTTTCCCTTAGTGAATTGAATCTTAAATAAAACTCATTTATATAAGTCTTTAAAGGTGAATGAATTGATAGGACACTGTTCTTTCAAGAAAAGTAATGACATTTGTACTCGCAAAGTGAGTTAGGAAATGCCTAATCCTGACCTACTTGTTGTACTGTCCAAGCATACCTCCAGCCTGAGTGAATTTTATTAAGTTTATTTTTTTATTCAGTAGGTGGGACGACAGTTTCCATCGAGAAGTACACTAACCATTATAAGAGCTTGGTTTTATCCTAGAATGGTGATCAAAGCTAATAATATCACTGCTCTTGTATCTAATTCTGCCCACTTCATGTAGCCTGAGCGTGCATAGCATTCTCTGAAAATCACGGTGTGGTAGTCATTCCTCGCCACCTCTATTCTCTCAGATGATGAGTTATCCTCATAAGGAAAGTGACGTGACATCCCTTTAACTCTCCGAAGATGTTCAATATCCGGTTTCGATACTTCATCCTATACACTGAATAAGTCTGACATATTCCCAAGAGGCGTTCTTTCTGAAGTTTCCGAAGAAACTGTTGTGCAGAAGAATCATGTATGTTTCCCAGTTAAGTCGGCCATTTAAAAGAACAAATAGCAACCAAAATTATTCATCCAAGTCACAAATATTCGCCAATATGCTTCGGAATACTCCAACTAATCTGTACTATGTCCTCAGGAAATTATCACTGTTGGTGATGTACTCAAGCGTACCATCACATTTGTAAAGGAATGAGTTCCTAATAAGTGATGTGAATGAGGGAACTTTACAGTGTGTTTGCATTTAGATTGCTGAATCTTAATTAATTGATCAATGTAATGTATATTATTTTAGAGGCTGACGGAATTGACGTTTACGGATAGCGCGAAGTATACTAACGCAATATATAATACCCACAACTTCCATAGTATTCGTTCCACGTAGACTAAAGGTAAAGCAAAAGACAATATTTGATCGTTCAAATTACGAGATATATTTCGGGAGCAAATCGGATTGTGCGATGATTGCTTAGCTGGCTAGTGATCGTGCGCAAACGTGACATGACGGAGTACCAAATGGCGTTGATGCTTGGCTGGAAGCCTTCAGCTAAACAAGCCGACTTAAATAGCGAGGGTCAGCACCCAACGTGTCATTGATGAGCGCTGTGGTCAACAATTCTGCAGAATTATATACCGTTAGAGCTCACTCCCCCTCTAGTGGTGTTGTGAGTACCCTAGGATTGAACCAGTCCGAAGTAAAACAAAATTCGGTGGTTCCCCTACGGTAAAAATCTCTTCCGAGCGCCTTGGTGAAGTGCCTACTGGTCGTCTACTTATGCTATTAGGGTGTCTGTACATCGTATTTTGACGTTTGTCCGTTGGATCTCGTGCTTTGCTTGTTTCTTGTTTAGTGGCCATCGCACCTGGAAAAGAAAACAAGAATCCGAAAAACCTTATTGAGGAAGATATACCAAAAATAATGTTTGGAAAATGATATGCACCTACTATACAATAAAATAATGCGGGGAATGAGAACATTGAAAAAAGTGTATATCAAACTGTTACATTGGGTGAACATGTACATTTATAGAAAAGCTTTTACTTATGTTGCGGGATGCAATGTAATAAAGAAAAATAAACTTTCAAATACCATAAACGAATAAGAGTTGGTGTCAAGGAACTTACCCTTAAGTTCCCATTGTTACGAAGGCGCTCCGCACCGATAAATACTACGTACTTTCTTCGGCTTTAACTCCAAAACACTAGTATTGTAAGAAGGACGTTGTATTGTTTGGCAGTTAAAGTGGAGAACAGTATAAGTCTATAAACAAATGTTTTATACGAAATTATTATATACTTTTATTCATTTTTGTTCGTCTCCGTCGAACTCGTACACGATCGAACCATTAGCGCCTACTAGTTGCTTACCAATGACTACCAGTTCCAAAAACAAACGTACGATGTTCACGTCCACCGACAGTTGGGTCAGTCGCACTACTTAGTTATGTAACATAAGTTTGAAGATATTCTCGGAATCTCACATTTCTTATAGAACGCGCTCTCTATGAGGGCTTGACACAAGGTTCTGTGGCTTCCGCCGTGCTAGTGATTTCTTAGAGGACTCATGGATATCCAGTTTCTCATATATTATTAGGAATGCTCAGCTCTGGGTCAATAGGATTACCTTCTAAGTGGAACGGTTTCAGACTGCCGATGCTGACAGCATCTTTGTGACCTATTTTGTCTACGACAAAGAATTTACCCTTATGTCTAATGACTTTATATGGTCCGTCGTATGAGGTTCCGGAGGTCGACTCACAGAGTCGTGAAGTTTTCAAACACGAGTGAACAAAAACATCTATGGACTGTGGTCGAAGGGGAGCAGGTTTAAATGGACTCTTTGCGTTTGTAAGCCTGCTGACATGTGAGACGTGATCTACCGCTAGCGGGAAGGTGGAGGGAGAAACAAACTCACCTGGTGGTCGTGGTGTTATGCCACATACTAGCTCGGTGGTAGTACAACCAGCATATGTTTTCAAGGCGTTTCTTATCCCTGGGGGAACTAACGGTAGTGATTCACTCCAATGCGTATTGTTTGCAACTGATAACCCAGCTTTCAACTGTCTGTGTAGACGTTCTACCATACCATTAGCTTGAGGGTCGTAGGCCGTTGTTCAAAAACGCATACAAATTATGATTTTAGTCAAGGCGAAGAATGAGCCGCTTTTGAATTGCCACCCGCGATCAGTTGTTGTGGAGGGTGGGCGTTCAAAGTTTGAGATCCGTCGTTCGACAAAGACGCGTGGGACTGTTTCATCAGATACATCCTTGAGGGGTAGTGCTTCAGGCCATTGTGTGAAACGGTCAATGCAGGTTAAGATATAGGTATATCCATGAGATTCTTTAAGAGGTCCAACCAAATCTATATGAACCTGTTCGAAACGAGCGCCAGGGATAAGGAAGGTGCCAACAGGGCTTTTGGTGTGTCTTACTACCTTGCACTTTTGACAAGCTAAGCGTGTGTGTGGCAATCCCCTTACGTCTTTATTGATAACAGGAAAACAAAACCGACTAGCTACAAGCCTGGATGTATTTCGAATACCACGGTGCGATAAGCCGTGTAACGGGTTAAAGACGCTATGGCGATAACTTTTAGGCACGATGGGACGAGGAAATAGTGTCTCTTCCCATACCTAAAGGTTTCTCGGCTAATTGCGATGTTGTTTTCGACAACTCATGTTCAAGCTTAGTATCTTGTTTTTGAAAATGAACCTGTTTCGCAAGGTCTGTGCCATCCCTTTGTGTGAGGGAACAAATGCGTGACAAGGCATCTGCCACGGTGTTGCCGACTCCGGATACATGGCGAATATCCGATGTAAACTGTGAAACGTAATCTAGTTGTCGTGGTTCCCTAGGTGAATACTTATCTGAAGTTGAGCACAGAGAGTACGTGAAAGGTTTGTGGTTAGTGGAAACTGTGAATTCACGACCCTCCACTGAATGTCGAAAATGACGTATAGCGCAATACATGGCAAGAAGTTCTTTTCCGAATGTGATGTACTTCGTTTCTGCTAATTGTAGGCGCCTCGAGAAAAAGGCGAGTGGTTGCCACTATCTGTTGACTAGTTGTTGCAGAACCGCGCAATTTGCAGTGTCTGATGCATCAACCGAGATACGTAACGGTGCATTTGGATACTGATACATTAGAAGTGTGGCATACGCAATAGCTTTCTTAACCTGAGTGAAAGCATTTGAGCAGATACGTCGAGTTTGATGGACTTGTTATTCCCTCGAAGAAGGTCTGTTAATGGCTGAATCAGGGAAGCACAGCTGGGAATAAACCGTCGATAATAACTCACCAAGCTGTTGAAAGTGCGCAGACTTCTCATTGTTTGTGGCTTTGAAAAGTTAAGTATCGCCTCATTTTCACAAGCCAGTTGGCGAATGCCCTTGCAGTCAATGATGTGGTCCAGGAAGTCGAGTGAGTCAACGCTTATCTGACATTTTTCACTATTAATGGTTACACCATGTAGACGTAACCTATTAAATGGCAAGTCCAGGTGCCTAAGAAGAGTTTCCTTGTCTGGACTGGCAATGAGGCAGTCGTCTAGGTATGCGTATACGAAGTCCAGACCGTGAAATACTTCTTCGATGAAGCGTTGGAATGTTTGGGCAGCATTCCGGAGACCGAATGGCATGGGCAGAAATTCAAAGAGCCCGAAAGGCGTAATGGTGGCCATTTTCGGAGTATCTTCTGTTCCCATCAGAATTTGGTTAAACGCTTTAACTAAGTATATTTTCGAGAATATAATTGCGCCAGATAAGTTTGCAGTCAAGTCGTGTGTGTGTGAGGCAATGGATAGCAATCAGGAGTTGTTTTAGCGTTCATTCGCCGGCAATCACCAGCAGATCGCCAATCGTTGCTATCTTTTTTCGGTGCCATATGCAGTGGGGATGCCCATGAGCTATTCGATGGCCGAATGATGCCAAGGGTGAGCATATGGTCGAACTCATTTCTAGCGAGTCTCTGTTTGTCAAGAGCAAGTCGTCGTGCTTTATATGACACGGGCTATCATGAAGTTATGATGTGATGCATAACA